TAACCCATTGCGCCATTCAGGAGGGCGTATTCATGAGGCTACGATGAATCAACATAGTCTAGAAATTGATGACGACATTAGTTTCCCATGAATCTAATTCTCAGTTAGTTGATGACGTTACCTTGTGTGTGTTTCTTGCACTGATTCCAACTGATCCGGCAGGAAGGCATTATTACTTATTGAAGTGTGATTACATAAAGTATGAACCACTTGCTCACAATCTGAGGAAAAACGATTTAAACTAAGTTCCTTCCTACGGAGCCCGTCTGGTGACATCGATACGAAATAAAAATATCTCGTTCCCACGCATTAGTAAATCGTGGCCACGAGTTATTAATGCGTGGGAACGACATAATTATCACACGGTGTTTCAAGAGATGGCAGGATATTGGTGTCATTCATGTCAAGGTTAAAATCAAATTAAATCAAATCAAAATGCTCCATGTTTCATGCAAGTACGCCCGCTATCAACAGCTGGTATGACCGCACTGTGAAATTTGCTCCACAACTTCTCTTGTTGCTTCATATTCGTAATGCGAGGCCACAGTTTAACTATGTCGTTCCCACACATTAATAACTCGTAGCCACGACTTAACTATGTCGTTCCCACGTATTCAGAACTCGTGGCCACGATTGACTAATGCGTGGGAACGAGTTTTTTTTATTTCTTATCGATGTCACCAGACGGGCTCCGTACCTTCCTGATCGCAGCACATCACAACTGGAGGGAAACTAAATGTACCAAAACATTCTGTGATAAAATCGTCTGAACAGTCACAGTGGGAAGATCGTGTCAAAGGCTTCACATGATATCATCTTTTTAGGAGACAACTTTTTGTACTTGTAAGACATGTTGTGTTTCGCAGGACAATTGTCAAAAATGTTTCATTTTTAAGGTTTTGGCAAGAAATTAGCAAAGAAACAGCCGCGTACAGTCAATTAGAGCTAACGAGGGAAGCCTTCATTACCGGGAGGGGAAGAGGACAAAGTGATTCCAAACCATCAACAAAGAGTTATGCACTTGAGATGTGCCGTTAAAGGGCTTTTAAAGATGTCCACTTTCACTTCTGTCTTGGCAGTGAAAAGACTCTGTCGACAAGAGCTAGACGATGCTTTTGCTTTTCAATGCTGCTCCTCGTGACGACGACTTCGCTGCTCATTTTCAACAATTCAGACCTCCAAGTACCGTATCCTCTGACCTTTTGGACAACGAGCTCATGGTCCAGCCAGTCTTACAACAACGTGACCACATCACTTGACAGAGTGAGTATATTTACTGGCTGCTGTGTCATCCTGAAGCAAAGACAGCTGTAATGACTAATGCATAAAAAAAATCCACACACGTCAATGTGTCGGTACAGTTCTGAAATGAAACTCTTCAGATGAGTCACCAGTGAAACATCACGAATGTTCTGTATTTCACTGCTTCCGTCTGCTGTATCCATCAAAATGTTCTTTAGTGAGGAAATAAATTTTAAAAAATGATTCATATGTCAAAATGCAGCTGTTTGAAATTCAGGAAGTCTTGCATTTAGCTAATTACACATACAGCCAGCGAGCTGCTTCTAACAAGATGCCAGTGACGGGGATTTTCTCAAAGGTGTGATCACACAGAATGCAAAGAATCCAGACACAGCAGGACTTTGCATACAAAGTTGATGGAAAGGCACAAATCATGAAAAGATAAAGAACTTCATTTGCATTGCACCTCAAAAAAACAAGGTACAGAGTAAAAGACAGAAGTAAAAGAATTGAAAAAATAATGTATAATATATATATTTTTTAAAGTGGGCATAAAATACTGTAAATTCCAGATGATTGAGACACCTGAATATCAGCCACACCCACTAACTTTAAAAAGAAAACAAGTTTTGTACATATACAGGCCGCACTTGTCTCTAAGCTGCAGGTGTCCACGTTGTAACATGAGATATTTACACAGAAAGATTTTTTTTAAACTTTTAATTAAATACGTACCGGTAACATACACAAATACGTAAATGCTTTTTTTCCTGTAACACGGCTGGTAGCCTACCAGGAAAAGTCATTGATCGCTATCTTCATCTTCCTCCTGCGCACTAAAAACACTAAAGTCTTCAGTGTGGGAGTTGAACAGCCTCAGAATTACTTCGCCACACACTTCCTCAGTCTCTCTTTCGTTGTCGCTCTCAAATTCGTAAAAATCCATAAATTAGCCGCATCATTGTTTAAGCCGCAGTGTTCAAAGCGGCTTGTGGTCCGGAAATTACAGGAGAAATAACAGCAAAGAGCACAAATCATGAACCAAGTGGTGCACAGAACCACTGCTGATCATTTGTTAGATTTCTGCCAACAGTGAACCACAAATTAGTCACACAATTCAACCATTATAGTGTGAAATACAGTTTTTCTACTCCTCTTATTTTTGAGCATGAATGTCCAGATCTACATCATGACTTATTTAGCATTGCTCCACCTCTCCACCAAATTCTGGTGGTTTGATCTGATTAAACATTTCTGATGAAACGAGATGGGGCAGCGTCATGATGCCAACTCAACCAGAAACCAAGCTGACGCGTCATCTTCAGATTAAAATGATAACAGATGGAAAAAAAAAAGAATCCCTTTTGCTCCTTTAATCATCAAAATTTTGCATCATATCAGTTAAACACACATTTATTAGACCACCACACAAATAAATTAACAGTTTGTCACTAAGAATTTGTAAAGCGACATCAGCACCTGGCTGTTGAATAAATTAACTTACCTCTTGCTACCTCCATGTTTTTTGGACAACAAAACCACTGCATGGCAAGGAGGACACGTGACTCATACTCGAGGGTGAAATGGTTCCTTGAATGATGCAAAGATTTTCAATTTCATGTTCAGCCTCATCTGACTACTACTTGGATTCCTGTGCATGTAGGTTTTGTTGTGTGTCAAGTTTTTTCATCTTGATTGCCAGTGTGTGACATTTGAATGACTTGGTGTCTTTCACATCATGTCAACTCCTTGAACACCTGACTTTTTAAAAATGTTTTGCTTTTTAGTTGAGGAAGAGTCTGAGTTACTGCAGCGAAGTACAGCACATATCAAATGAAGCTACACAATTTCACCTTTAACACAATGCTAGTTGCTCATTCAAACTTTTTTCTGGTTTGCCACCTCTGCAAGTAGGCTGTCGTATGATAACAGACATTTAGTTGCTCTTTCATTTTGTTTTTTTAACCGAGTCATGCAGTATCCCACTATCATGGTTCTAATAATCCCAGATCCCAGACGATTTCTCCCCTGCACTTATGAAAAGATCTGTCTA